TCTAAGAGGAGAGCCACACAGAGCAGAGATCCACAGAATGGAGGCCTGTTTCTTAAGGCTTTAATTTCTGCATCTTTGTTTGGGTTGATTTTGTTAAACTAGGTCTTCATGCGTGTGAACATGGGACAAAAATCTTACAAATATAATGATGAGTGAAAAAACAAGTTCCAAAAAGATATGTACACCAGAATATCTACAAATATATTAAAAATACATAATACTATATTTTGCTTAGGGATAATATACAGAGGAAGTGGAAAAGGCATGTACGAGAAAGAAACCCATCCCTTCAGGTTAGCTACGAGCTCTGAGGTTGGAGGGAGGGAAAGGAAGAGGGTAAAGTTTTTACTGTACCTATTAAAATTGATTTCTCTGCAAAACAGAAAGCTATCTGAAGCAAATATAGCAAATTATATAAAAAATGTTAAATGTAAGCGGTAAGTATATGCATGCCTGCTTTATTTTCTGTGTATTAATTTATGCATATATATAAAATATTCATAATTTAAAAATTAAATTGCTCTAAAAAGGACATTCTCTTCCTCTTCCAAATTTTAAATTTGTGATGTACTTTTCTTTTAAAATGGTTAACAGAGAAAATCAAAATACTTACCTAACACAGCAAACGGTCGCAGTTTTTCAGGCTCATCTTTGACTGTTACATGTGGTTTTGATATTTGCTCTGAGTCATGGATAATTTTTTGCTGCACATTTTGTTCAAGGGACCAAGCTGATACAGGCTCTTGGCTTCTCTTCTGTGGGTTGCTCACATGGTTATAGTGCATATATATTAAAAACAGAGCTGCCCAGATCCCAAATGTCAAGGATGCACAGAATAAACATTGAATTACGGCCTTTCTCACTGTAAACCTAGCGTTACCCATGGTCCATTTTTCAATTTCCTAAATCAGAACGATTTAAGAGAAACAGTATTAGATAATCCAATGGTTTATAGATCATCTATTTGGCTCGAATTCAATTTTCAGTGTTTTAAATACAGGTATCAGTCCTTATATACATAAAGTGCACCTTTTTTTTTTATATTAGCACACACTCTTTTTTTTGTTTATTTGTGGGTTTCTTTTTCTGAGACAGTGTCTCACTCTGTCACGTAGGCTAGAGTGCAGTGCCATCATTATAGCTCCCTGCAGCCTCAGACTCCTGGCCTCAAGCGATCCTCCCACCTCAACCTCCCAAAGTGCTAGGATTGCAGGTGTGAGCCACCACACCCAGCCTAGCACAAACCTCTTAAAATTGATTTTCATAAGATTACTTAACGCTACAGTGTATAATGTGTTTATAAAGCACACAGCATCATTTAAAGCCGTTGGCATGTACACCTGTGCATACAGGAAATAAGGTGACAAAGGCTTACTCATCCCTAGATGCCCAATCCATCTTGGAGAGATAGCAGATACATTGGGCAATAATGACCTCCTGGGGCAGATTGTTCTGCAATCTCAGAGTGCAGCGTCTCTAAAAATCTTATTTGACACCAATCAGGTTGTTAAAAATGTAAAAACACACAATGTCACATGCTGGAGAGAAAGCGGGCAATGGGAACGTTGGTCCACTGTATGTTGGTACAATCAGTTTGGCAGCATCTAGTTGAGGATATATAAATATATAGTATGATAAAGCAGCTCCATTCCTAGGAACCTATCCCAAAGAGACTCATTAAATTAGACGTCTCTCACCTAAAGAGACGCGTCATGAGACGTGTACAAGAATGTTTACTGAAGTAATGTTTGTCATAGTGAAAAACTAGATACAGCTTAACGTTTCCTCAACAGGAGGGTTGATAAAATGAAGCTCTTCATTCAATAAGGAAAATGGATCAACTAGACACACATATGTAATGTTGTAAAATCTAAAAAACATAATGTGCAAAAGCCAAGTAGGGTATGATGTAAGTTTGGAAAACACGAGAAGCAGTACGATGGTTTATGGACATTCTCACATGTAGCAAATGCACGGAAAAACCACACCTGGGAGTGATGTTTGCAGATTTGCAACAGTGAAGGGCCCCGACCCTGTTGTTCTTACTGCTTAGTTTTCAAAAAGCTCTGAAGAAAACAAGCCAAAACCCTACGGTTCGATAGAGCTGATGGGTGCGACACAGCGTTTACGATACTTTTCTCTGTGTTTCCCTTAGGTTTGAAGGTGTTCGTCATTCATCGAAAAAGGAAGAAGCTCTTGAGAGCCTCCCTTTAAAGACGAACTCCTGTGTCTGTCTCCTCTCCATCTTGACTCAACAACGAATACAAATAAAGCTAAACATTTTAACATGTGCTTGCAAGACAGGAAGTTATTGGACGTGTGGTGACACTTTGGAAAGGCAGAGGACGTGGTGGCTCACAGCCTGCAGGGGGAGGACCCTGAAGTGGAAACGAGCAGCTCAGGGCTTCGGGTGACACGTGGCTTAGGGAAAGGCCACACATCAGAGTCGTCAGCTCTCTCCACGGTTCGCTTTAAAATGTGACTCTTTAGAGTCAGGAAAACATGGCTATGCTTTAGATGCTGTCACAACTAACTATCCTGTAAACAACCAGCATTTTTTAACCCCAGCTTTCCTAGGACAATCTTAGTACTGATCTTCATGCAACGTCTATGACTTTCGATAGTCAGGGTTTTTTTTTTCCTATTGATGTTTTTTGAATAAGTAACACATTGACTTGGTATACATTTTAAGAGCATAAAGAAGTATATAATGAAAATCGGCTCTGTTTTTCAAAGCTATCGCCATGTCCAATCCACCTTTAGGATGGCATAACCAGCCTGGTGCTGCTCCCCCTTTTAAAAAAAGTCAAGTAAGTCTCCTTAGCCCTCATCCCCAGAGCTAGCGTCCCCGCAGGAGTCAGCGATTGACGCGCTGCTCCCACTGGTTCGAGGGGAAAGCTCCAGCAGAGGGAGCTGAGCCCACCCACCGCTGAGATACCTGCACTGGCTGCTTTGCGACAGATGTTCTTCCCAGGCACAGTCATGGCAGCAATCAGGCAGGGGTCTGTGACAGAGGAACCGAAAGCTGTAATTTTTTTCTGGATGGCAGACTTTGAGGTGCCTGGGTGCCAGGCAACACCTGACTGTGCTGGGCAGCCCTGCCACGCGGTCGTGCTCAGAGTGCAGCGTCCAGCGGCCTCACAAAGCCTGATGACATCACACAGGGCGTCGCTGGCCCCAGAGCCCCCGCCTGTGAGCTCCAACCGGCAGGTGGAATCTAGGAGTTCCAAAGTTCAAAGGGCCCCTTGGGAGAGACTGAAAATCCTCACCCTCAGCTGAGGAAATAGGGAAAGCCTCTTATTAGGTCAAAATCCAGGGTGTCTCCCTTCTCTAGGCTACACCTAACTTTGATCTCTTCAGGAATAAACTGAAGAAAAAGATCAGACTTTCAGAATACCTCAAGAAACTTAAGGATAAGCCGGAAGGTTATTTGACTGCCTTTTAATTTTTACTCCATTACTGAAAATCTTATATGTTAGTACAGGAGTTAAGCCACATCCTTCTGAACTTTCTTCTTTTTTAACATACCTGAGCACAATTGACCCTCTGCTCTTTGAGGAGGCGACTCAGTCTTTTTCCTGGAACCAGATATCTGCTCGAAAGCCTGTGAGAGGAACAGGGGGCGTTGGGGCCCCTACATGACCTCCCAAAACTGACCTCCTAGGGCAGACGCAGTAGACAATGCTGACCACCTGGGGCAGATAACATAGGCAACGATGACCTCCTGGGGTGGATACAATAAGGAGTAATGACCTTCTGGGGCACACAGTTGGGTAATAATGAGTTCCTGGGGCAAAAGGATGGGCTATAATGACCTCCTGGGGCATCTGGATGGAAGAAAATGACCTACTGGAGCCAATGCATGGGCAAAAATGACCTCCAGGAAGCGATAGGTGGGCAATACTGACCTCCCCAGACAGATTGCTGGACAATAATGACCTCCTGGGGCAAATACATAGGGCAATAATGACCTCCTGGGGCAAATACATAGGGCAATAATGACCTCCTGGGGTAAATACAGTGGCAATGAGGACCTCCTGGGGCACACATGGTTGGAGTAATGACCTCCGGGGGCAGATACAACGAGCAATAATGACCTCCAGGGGCACACATATTGGGCAATAGTAACCTCCTGGGGTACATGGTTGGGCAATAATGATCTGCTGGGGCACATACATTGGGCAATAATGACCTCCTGAGGCAGATACAATGGGCAA